CTAAACATACTTCATATATTCATGACAACCTCCATATCAGCAGTCTTCGAGTAACGTGACCTCGTGTCCAACCCGTGTACAGAATATGGACGTTCGCGTACACTCTTTCTTCCTCCATCGCGTTGCTGCCTGGAGTTTACGAGAGTCAAATGCTTCACTTCACCCGAACTCGGTATCGCTTCAGAGCCCACGTGGGCCTGAAGCTTTCAGCTGAAGTCCTTGTTCAGCCAAAGCTGAGCTGAACGAGGTTAGCGGAGGCTGGTGCCTTATTGGCTTGGCAAGGGTCGATATTCTGCCTCTCTTTCTTTTACTACCTATGCAACAACCTGTCTCAGTCTATGTAAGGTCATGTTCAAGTCTTTCACTCGGAGTATAACGACATCCATCGCGCGCTTCACAAGAAGCAACATGTCAACGCCTCAAGAGATCCAGCTCCCTGGCTTCGGCCTTCCCATCAGCCACGCTGGGGCTCATTTTCCAGTTGTCCTTGGGACAGAAGACGGGGAGGGAGAAGGAGACTGGAGAGCCAGCACTTTGACAATTCGAGAAGTCTGCATGATCAAAGTCATCGAGGACCTCACAAACAAGCCCGAGTGGTGGATCAAAGTCAATGATGATGAAATTTCTGCCAAGTGGAAGAAGGAGGCTATGGAGATGCCATGGGGAGAGTATCGAGTATACGGTGATTTCACCCAGGCCATGGCTGATGCTGTGAGTGACATCTCTCGGCCAAAATACAATGGTCTCGCTAAACCACGATAGTGTATCAGGGAATTGCGCAAAAAGGCAGATATTTACCAAAAGACCGGCCTCATTCCGGTCATGGATTACGCTTCTGCAGCCATCAAATCAGACAACTTGGTCCCCAAAGACCTCCGAGATGCCCTCATAGCTGCCGTTTCCCCTTTGGAAAATGTCCCCGAGAAACACAAGGACTGGCATCCTGGCAGTGATGGCAAGGTGCTTGACATCGTCCACCCTTCGCTGTGGCCGCTTGTCTATGGGCGATCTCTCATCCTCCCCGACAAGCGCATTAATCTCGAAGAAGCGCTGCCGCATTGCGGGAAAGGCGTCGTTATCCCTGTCGACGACAGTGATGTCAGCAAGCGGCATCCTAGTGCCTTTTCTAAACGCTTCCAGTGGCTCCCTTGCGACGTTGACCTGACTGGCGAGCACCCTCGCATCGACAGCTACATCAACAATGTGCACCCGGTCAAACATGCCGAGCTCTATCCCGTCATTGAGAAATTCATAGAGAAATCGCTCCCGGCTTGGGATGTCATCTATCGATGGCATAAGGACTTCGAAGTCCAACGTGTCTTCACGAACAATGTTCGACCAGATTGTAAAGTTCCCGAGATCTGCGGAGATGAGTGGTGTTCAGCCCAAAATCGGCCACTGGACGACGATGAGGAGCCTCGAAGAGAAGATGAGGACTATGAAGAAGATTACGAGGAATCTGATCGCAACAAACGCGACGAGGAATGGTTCAGGGAGACCCATGTTCCAGAACTTCCGGACCCTAAGACTGAATTGGAAGAGCTCGTCAAGATCGACCCTAGCGACGTAAAGACCTCTGGCTTTTTTGGTAACGCTTCTCGAGTGCAGGTCATTGTCAAGCTTGCGAACATTCACCTCACCCCTGAGAAGCCAACCTACGACGGTGGTTCATGGCATATCGAAGGCCAGTTGAATGAGCACATATGCGCGACTGCACTCTACTACTATGACTGCGATAACATCACTGATTCTCGCCTTGATTTCCGCACAGTTGCCAACAGAGAAGACCAAACTTTAGACCTGAGTTACGAGCAGGGCGATTTCGACAGCATCGAACGAGTTTTCGCGATTGATCCCGGTGCAGACACACTCCAGAACATCGGCAGCGTTCTCACACGCCAGGATAGAATGCTCTTCTTCCCCAACGTATATCAGCATCACGTCAGCCCCTTTGAGCTGGTTGACAAGTCTCGTCCCGGCCACCGCAAGATTTTAGCCCTTTTCTTGGTCGACCCTCAGATTCCTATCATCTCAACTGCCAATATTCCTCCCCAGCAGCGCGACTGGTGGGCGGAGGGGTTGCTCAAGAATGATCGCTTCAATAACCTGCCCCCTGAGCTGACACGGATGGTGGTGGATAACTTGGATTTCCCTATTGATCTGGAGGATGCTAAGAAGATCCGAGGGGAACTCATGGCGGAAAGGACTGGTATGCAGGGTACCCTTAACACCAACCTCAAGAATCTTGAGTGGAATTTCTGTGAGCACTAGGTAGGGAGTCTGTATGAACGGTCTGTTCTAGCTTTTCGTCACACCGAGCTCAAGGTATCTGAAACAGGGTTGTGCACTTGATGAAACCTCTTTAGGCGGAGTTGCTCTGGGGTCTAATCTAGTCACAGTATATGTCAAAGCTATTTATGCAAAGATACAGAATACTACATTAATTAGTAGATTCTCATATAAGATCAATCCTGATTCACTGGTGTGCCATTAGCTCAGATATGCCATAGGTCAACGAGTTGTGTAAGTCAGCTTCCAAACACCAACATGCGAGATTGGACTTGTTGGTGCCGATCTGTGCATGTTCCATGATCTGGTTTAAGCCCAAGTCTGATAATTAGTTTAATTTTGATTGAAGTTTTACTGGTACAAATTAACCTTGAACCCTGAGCATCCATTGTCAAGGCACATAGGGATAGCTTCAGTATAACCGTGGGCATCTCAAGTCACCCAGTGCATGGTTTCAAGAAGCAAATTGTTCAATGCAATACTCAACAGTAAATAAAAACTCCTGCTTTATTGATATATGCCTTCCACGTCAGGGCGGTAAGAAATTAGACTGACGAGCGGATATGCCAAGCAGAAATCTACAAGGTTGATCTTCCATCTGCGCAGGATCAGACCAGAACCGGTAAGTTTGATGGGAGCTGACCCCTGACTATGGATACAAGTCAGGCTTTTTACACGAAAATCAGAAAAACCAAGAGATGCTTTGGAGGATTCAATAGGTTCCTGTCTGGGTTTGAAGGATTAAACGAAGGTCTTGGTTGAATGGATCTGAAGTGGAAATCAGGGCTGAGCGTTGCATCGCTTCGTTTGTCAAGGCGCAGTTGTAGTTGTATATATCCGTGAACTCCTGACTTTCTCTTGAGAAGAGTTCTCATGATTTTGGCTCTTTTGGCTCTGCCCTTTCTTTATAAGTACTGCTACTGTTGGCATCATCCTAACAAAGTTGTATACCCTCTCACTACCTACCCTCGTTACTCTTGAGATCGACAAAGGCTACCAGATACCCAGTCTTGGCTTGCCAGTTTAAGTTACTCAACTTATTGGGAAACAACATACATACTCAGTATACTCCGTGCGGCATCATCATGGGCATCCTCGACGATCTTATTCCCAGGCCTACGGCTCCTCCAGCTACGAGAACACTCAAACGACGAGCAGTAACTAGTAGTCAAACAACAACGGAAGAGATCACCATCACAATCGCCCCAGATAACACCTGCGGATACATCTCAGAACGACTTGGAGCCAGCAGAGCGTGTCCACTGAACGACTGGTGCTACTTCTTCCCACCCGTGCCAGCCCAATCATTCACAAACGGCGGTGTTTTATGCTGCGGAGAAACATCTTGTCAGTACCACGCAACATGTGTCAACTCGGAGGAGTACTTTGTGTCGAGTAAATGCGATGGTGGTTGCGAGGTTGACAACTATACTCTGAAATGGTAACTCACCCCCTTCTTATCATATATCATCAGGCATAGGTACTCAAGAATGCTATAGTACAGACTCGGCGTCTCCTTACTGTAACACTGTATCATGGGAGGGAAGCACATTCGATTATTGGTGCAACGACCTCGATATCTCTACGGCACAAAGCGCCGCTCTCACCTACAAGGGCCAAACATCACGAGATTTCGGCACCATTAATGAGCGAGACTACAGCTCTCTACTTTCGCAAATGACCGAGGCGCAAACTGAAGGCAGTGTCAATGCCGAAGCGACAGGAACAGCAACATCCCAATCTGCCGCTACCGAGACAAACAAAGATAGTGGCAGCTCAGGAACTCCAGTAGGCGCAATCGCTGGAGGAACAGTTGGCGGTGTAGCAGCACTCGCTCTCATCGGCGTGGCAGTGTTCTTCTTCCTCCGCAGAAGAAAGAAGAGCAAAGCTTCAAGTTCACCAAACTACCAACCAGCACCTGGAGGTGACAAAACGGGATGGAACCAGGAACAGCAACAAGGTGGCTACTATTACGATCCAAATTCACCGTCCACGGGTTATAATGGAAACCCAAGTAGCCAGTATGGATACCAACAAGCTGGAGGCTATCATGCTGGGCATCAACAGCCTGCTATTCATGAAGTGGGTGGTGAGGCCGTGGGGAGCATCCCTCAAGAGCTTCCAGATAGTGGACCTGGGGAAAAGAAGCCGGTAGAGCTTGCTTGAGTGTTTTGATTTAGCGTTGTAGAGGCTCGAGTTTTGTGCCCACCGTAAGCTGAGACGGTTCAGTCCTTATATCTTAATCTGTAAATATCCTCTTCATTATCTCGACGTCACGAGAATACGTTATGCAAATAGATCCACTATCAGGGCTGAGCGCAACCACAGCCTTGATACTTGCTGCGAAACAATGGGAAACGAGTAGAGACGATTAGATCATAGATACTCCATATTAATTTGTTGCAATTTTTTCATCATGAGAAGAGTGGATTTGACGTTGAATAATTGTTTATTTTAATATGATGTTGATTTAGATGCCCCATTTCTATGCCAACTACGTCATGGCCTGACCAAACTTTGTTATTTGGGTGCATAACTTATGCGCTCGCTCACTCGCTAGCATGCGACCTCATGCCTAAACCAGACCAAACCGACCATCTTCAAGCTTAACCCAACTCAATCAATTCATGCAAATACTATAACTCGCGTACATCAATCAATTTAGCGGGCCCCCCTACGTCGGACATCGGACATCACATTCATATCCTATCATGTCCTCTAAATGGACCTTCAAGGCCCAACCTGGCATCTTTGTTGAACTCGCTGGCATTGCCCATGAATATCCTGGAGAAAAAGTCACGACGCAACCTAACTTGGGCCTCATTCCAGATCAGAAATACCCTTCTGATGATCCAGATGCACCCGATAAAAGGGACTGGGCTCGTCTCGCGGCATATGTGAGATGGCTCAATGAGAATAGCTCCGACAATGTCTCATACAAAGTCTTGTACCTCACACGACATGGCCTTGGAGTACACAATAAGATGCACGCCCAGGTAGGCTCCGAAGCGTGGAATGTATGTATTGTCGTTTGAGCCACATCAATATTGCTTCATTTACTAACATGAGCAGACAAGAGTGTCATTCCAAAATGGGGATGGCGAAGACACCTGGTTTGATGCCTTTCTCACCGAAGTCGGCGAAAAGCAAGCTCAAGATCTCAACTCCTTCTGGACCGATCTCATCGAAAAGCAAGGCGCGCCACAGCCCAAAATCTTCTACACAAGCCCACTAGCGAGATGTCTTCAGACAACGGACATCGTCTTCTCACCACTCATGGCCTCACAATCACCGCCCCAACAACCCATCGTCAAAGAACTCCTCAGAGAGCGCATCACTCGCCACACCTGCGACTACAGGAGGGATCGCACATGGATAGCCGAAAACTATCCCAGCTACAAGATCGAAGATGGGTTCGAGGAGGAGGACCAGTTCACCAACAGAGTTGAGCCTGAGACTGATGAGGAGCATGTTGTGAGGAAACAGAGGGCTTTGGAGGATATCTTTAATGAGACGACCAAAGGCGACGACTTTGTATCGTTGACAGTCCACTCGTACGCGATCCGGGCGATTCAGGCCGCCGTGGGAAGTGGTGTTTGTCGGACACGTGAAGGGACAAGTATCGCGATACTTGTCAGGGGTGAGAAGGATGGAGAGGCAGACGGTCCAGAGCTGGACATGAATGACTATGTGTCTGCAGATCCTGCGGGCGTGAGCTCGTTGAGAAGATTCTCCATGTGATGGACGTTAAGAGTAGATGGATTAGATACATGATATACCGTTGTATCAAAAACATAATGTAACGATGATGAGTCCTCAGTTATCTACCTACTAGATCGGCGATACGGAGTGCTTTTTCTACTTTCAAGATCATCACCTCTAAAGTCTAGATACCCGAGGTACCTTTAGTACTAAAACTAGGTAGGTAGAGCGGGTGCTGTCTAGAAGGCTTTCTACGTTACTTCTATTGCCATCCAATTTCAACGGTCGGATAACCCAGAGTATGGGACGTCTACCTACCTACCTAGGTAATTTGATAAGATCTCAACCCTTTCACCGATGATAGATGCATGTCTTTATGAGAAAATGAGGCTTCAGCGGATCATTATTCGCAGAAATAATTAGCACAAGAGCTCGTTCGACAATAAATTCTGAAGTCAAAGAATTAAAAAATTAAAAGGGCCACGGGAATGGCATTGGCTGCTATGATGAAGTCCTGTCTCCCTTGCGCTGTCTCATGAACCCAAAACGCCCGTTTTCGACTCACTATTTATACGTAACAACATATTATTGTCGAGTGGGCCATTGTTATATAGAAGATGTGCTGTCGAGCCATGCTTACCACCACTTGAATGTACCACTGGCCCATGTCTTCCATGGACCGCGCCTGGAAGGAATCTTGTTTTCAGGGACAGAGATCTCGTAACCATCATCGACATCCTTGGAGACACTCTTGGAGGTCCACGAGTTGTCATCGGTCTGGAGCCACTTGTTGAATCGGCCCTTGTCCTTGTGGCGGTAGGACTCGACGGGTTGAGGGAGGACCTTTGTGCACTCGGTGAGGCTGTTGATATTGTTGACGCCCAAGAGACTGAGACGGACATAGGCGCGGGCATAGTCCTGGGAAAAGTCAGTGCTTGCTTCACGAAATATTTTTGAACAATACTCACCACGTTCCAGGCGGCTTGGCCAGTGCTGCCGCTGGCAAAGGCCTCAAAGGCAGGTTGGGTAAGGGGGTGGTTGGCGAGTGCCACATCACTGGGGAACTTGTAGACACGCTTGGGGGCGTTCTGGTCAATGGTTTGCTGGTAGAAGAGAATATCCCAGACGCCGGGAGTGCTGTCCTGAGGATCGCCATCACGATCAATGTTGGTGTGATGCTGCTGAGAGGTTGTGTGCGCGCCGATAAGAGCAACAAGGTCATCGGGGCCAATTGTCTTGTCCTTGAAGAGGTTGATCAGAGTGAGAGCATCAGAGTAAACGCTTGGCAGAAGACCGCCGAGGTTGGCCTTGGTGCTATCCTTGCGTCCAACGAAAGAGCGGACACGGGGGCCGAGAGGGCAGGTAACGGCAGCAATGTTGGAGCCCATTTGGATCAGATCAGCCATGGTGACCTGGGTGAAACCATACTGTGTGTGATACTTGTCGTAGATGGTCTGGTAGTACTCGCCGATCTGCTGAAGACCCATGTTCTCGCCACGGGTGAGCTCGTTGGAGAGAATGATGGAGCCATCGGCACCACCTCCTTGCGAAGCGGTCTTGAGAGACCAGGTACCGGCATCGTGGAAGCCAATGCGCACAGCATATCGAGCCCAGCGTGTGCAACGGCCAGCCTCGCCCCGGAACTTGTCCTCGAGTTCGTTGGAGATGTATTGCCAGACACAGCAGGTATCACGCTTGCAACGTTGAGAGTTCATGGAAGGGCAGCCAAAGTAGCGCTCGCGGCTGGTGGGGTTGCCATTGCCTTGAAGGATCTTCTTGATGTCACTGCCGACCGAAGTGAGGGACTTGTCGCTGAGGGTGGCAAGGTCGCCGATGAGGGAGTGGGCATCGAAGCTGTCTCCGGACCAGCCACTGCCACTGCCACTGCCACTGTTGCTTCCGCTGCCACTACCTCCGCTGCTCTGGCCGGGCCATGAGCTAGATCCTCCTCCATTTCCACTGCTCTGTCCAGGCCAGGAGCTTGAGCCGCCACTGTTGGTCTGTCCAGGCCAAGAACTGGAACCACCTCCATTGCCATTGCTTTGGCCAGGCCAGGAGCTAGAGCTTCCTCCGTTATTCTGACCAGGCCAGGAGCTTGAGCCACCGCCGTTGCCTTGTCCTGGCCACTTGTTTCCACCCCATCCACTGCCCCAGCTACGAGCAGCAATTCGTTCGATCTCCTTGATGGTCTCACCCATGCCAGGGTGAGCAGCAGCCTCTGGGATAGGCGCAGCAGCCAGAGCTGCTGCAATGAGAACGGTAAACTTCATAGTTGCGATGAAAGATAGGTCGATGGTAGTGAGAAGTATTAATGAATGAATCAAGTTTTTATAAAAGAGTGAATATTGCTTCTAGCGAGTGTATGAGAAGCAGATTGAGAACGAATGTGTAATGAAAAGAATGACGGGAGAAAGGAACGTAGAGTGATAGTGGCTCACCTCTTACAGACCGCAGTAGACAGGAGAGGAGCATCATGTATATATATGCTAGAGGCCTCTACAGTCTCCATTGCCTCTATCAAGTCGCTTTGACCAGACGCCGAGAACTCTCGGCACGATAATTCCTGGCCCCTGGTCTCCCCATAGAGCTTTCTTTCTAGCTCTGAGACTATGAAGGGCTCGATCAAGAAACAAAAACCAACGAAAGACGCTTAAATGAACCCTGCAGTTCATCAACGGGACGGCATGTGTCTAGAACTCCTCAATATGGGGTCCCCTGTAGATATGACCGTCAGTGCGTAGTAATTGCTCACACACCACTCGACGTTGTAATCTCTTCCCGGCGAGAAGCTGACTTGTCTCTTTTCTCTACCTCTAATTAGAGAAAATGCCTTTGCAGCTTCAGTAGTGTCGATGCCACGGTCGTATGTGGATCCCCGGATGCGTGGAGAGCGTTGAGGCGTTGACGCATGACGCCTCGTCCCATTAAACAATGGTCTAAAAGTTTCACGTCGGCTGAACCACTTGGTTTTCTTGCGAGACTATCGGACACCGGATGGGCCAAATCTCTTGGTAGCGGGTTTAGGACGGATGAGCCCGAGATTGTATGTCACCAGATGGGCTTGGTAGTGTAATGCCACGCTCATCTGTCAGATGTAGGGAACGTTGACCATTGTGACGAGAGCTTTACATCGAGATCTCGAGTTATCGTTCTCTCTCTCTCTCTCTCTCTCACCGTTGAATCCAACGTTCAACAATTGGCTCGTGAATGTACGATTCGTCGCCTGCAGTAGTTCCAGGGGTACTTGCAGCTGCGTGTAAGATGATACGTCCGTGTGTATCCACATACATGTCGATCACCAACAAACAAACATGCTCTGCCTCCTTTTGGTGGTTACCCGAGCGAGCATAGCACGCACAGCACAACCACAAGATCAGGCTGGAGAAGCTTTCAGCTGGGAATCACATTGTTCCCATTGGACATCCAAGGTTAACCGAGGCGAACATTGCCTGCTAGGCAAAGGCAAGCGCCTGGCGCCAAGTCTCGAATTGCGGTGGATCGAAGGGACATGATGGAAATTACCCTTGTTCAGGTGGATACTAACAAATCCGATGAAGTGGCCGAGAATGAATCTGCCTGGATCGAACGGGAGAACTTCTCTATCTCTTGGCAATTTCGAGATATTCGAGAGTCTCGATTGTTTGAAAGCAACAGTTTTAGATCATTGTTGAAAAGTTGACTTGTTGAGGGAGGACGGTAGGAGAACGATGAATTGTTAGGTCAGCGACCATCACATGACTCCAACAGCACTTGGCTTGCATCTTATTATGCTTAATTGATAAGACTACTAATTTGCTCTGTTAACTAACAGTAAGACAAAGGTTATTCTTGATCTAAACAACACCATCATTAAATAATTACGCTTCACAAAATTCAGGCTTCACTCACTACTACCTACTAACAAGACACAGTAAAAAGGAGACGTCCAATCAAGATGCTGTGAAAAGTAATAGTAATTCGGAAATTTACCCCTGGCGCTAAAACGCAGTTGTGGCATCCAAACCAAACGAGCTCTTCCGTTGTTGGAATAGTTCATCCACCGCAGGTAAACGGTGAGTTGAGGCATGGAGAGCTGAAGAATTCAACCTTGCAGCGGAATCTGAAACAGATAGATCCATGCTACTTCTCCAGATGCAACTCTTGTACCAGACCGATCATATATCACTTGCCTTATCCGGACCTTTTGTCCATAACCTGCTGGTTAAATATAGATCCCATATCTGATGCTGGATGGAAGTTTATATCATCGCCAACGTTACATGTAAGGTAGTTGGCGGCGGATACTTAACGTACTGATCAAGGTTAATCTTGTTGGTCAAGAAGGAATACTCGGGGGGCAAGAAAACACAAGACCTTCATATAGGGTGCCAAAATAAACTCAGTAAAAGATATCCTAAACTTAGTGTAGATATTCTAAGTTTATGTAAATTTATACAAGTCTTTTTGTCACTCAGGATCAAGCTCCTGAGTTCTCTTTCCTCTCCCAACGAATGTACGTCTCTAAGTTAAGAACAGCCTACCTACCTAAGTACCTACCTATAATAAATCAAGATAGCTACCTTGGAGGCTATAGCGAACGACAATAAGACCATACTACATCGAGACTTGTTACGACAACGCTTCACGCCCGAGCACTGGAACCCCTCTCTGATGCCAACTAGGGGCAAAGATACAATCTTGATTTTGATATCTTCTTAGACGTCAACCTTATTTGAAGCATTCTATCAGCAGATATGGTTTGAAACTTCGTCTTGAGAATCCTAATGTGCATGCCGGGCGCAGGGTAGACAGTCCTAATTTCTTACCCTGTAGCAAGCGACTTCAGCGAGCACATAAAGGAACCGGCTTAGGGCATTATTGACGCTTGCGTCTGGCAGCGCATAGAAACGTATACACAGTAACGATCAGGCTTCTGTAGGCCCTTCGCTTCTGTCTAGAATCACGCTAGTCTTCGCCGTCACCGGATAGCTTCCGGCAATGTCCTTACGGGAGTTCTACAATTTAACAAACATCACACATACTATAACTTCACATATCAAAGAACAATCTTTCAAAATCAAGACAAATAGCATTGTTGAGAATATAGTCGAGCAGCTCGACCTACTCAGGATATACATTAAACGCCAATGATCCTGGACGCCTGCCATCCCTACCTAATCCAGTTTTCCAGCGCCCTCCACCCCCTTATGCACATCCCACATTATCCTAGGGCCAGCAAGTACTCACTTGGAAGGCCCTCACTCTGTAGGCGGGGAGCCTGTGTACGATATCCCGCTCAAGCTAGAAGAAATAAATAAAAAATGAAGACGAAAGAATACAAAAAATCCTGGCGTCGGGCCCGGCGAGATGTAACTTAGACAGTCAGGAGTGACTATTGGAAAAAGTGGAAATTGGAAAAGAAAAAAAAGAAGAGCTCGTTGGCAAAAGATGTCCAAAGGAGGTGGAACTGTGACAAGACGCCTGTCTGGCGTTGTCGTAGAGGCATTCAGTCGTGCATCAACGTTGCGACTAGACAGGCCGTGGTTCTGCGGCGTTCTGTTGTTCGCTTGCTCACTCAAGATCGTCGCGAGATGCCTGCATCATCATGAAAAAGCTTGCGTGAATCTATCATCGTTCAGAATGGTACGGTCGTTTGACATCATTCATGGGTAGACGTTGAGTGAAGGCTAATCAGGGGAGTGCTCAGTAGGCATCCTCATCTGTCCATTCACTGCCTGAAATGATGCGGTTACCGTCTTGGTCAATCATCACTGGCCCATTATATGATGCCGTAGGAGGTATGCCGCGTATACGCTTGGATTGACTGCTCGTGGGTCGACCTGGCTCAGGTGAGAACCGTTTATTGCGAGTCGCCCTTAACTTGGCATAGTAGGCATCTGAAACGTCAAGCTCAGGCTCGCTGTTATCGTCGTATGTCTCCCAGTTTTCAGATCCAGAGATGTTGGTTGATGCCATTGAGTTGCCAGAGATCTGTCTTGGCGGAGCCATCGGACGATAGCCTTGTGAGCGGATGGTGGAATATGGGTCATGGAAGCTCTCTTCGCTATAGTATTGAGAGTTATTGCTTGGATGGCTGCTGAACTGAGAATTGTTGCTGGGATGGCTGCTATACTGAGAGTTGTTGGAGTTGGATCTCGCTGTCCTAGGGCGATCATCATACACGTCCTCAGGCTCAACATGGCGAACAATGCTGGAATTGAGGCCCATGGACTTGTAGGGATTCATAGGAGCTTCAAGATCACCCCGAGCCATCAGGTCACGCATCTTGGGAGGAGGTGCCCGCATCAAAGGAGGACCAGGCCGGAAGGTATCAGCTCGCGACTCAGCACGAGGCCGTTCGGGAGAGTTGTTTCCGTGCTTCATGTTTGATAGCGGAACTCGAGCAGGAATTCGCGAGGGACTCCTTACAGGGCTTCCAGGTATACTAGAAATGGAACCAGTAGCTTGGTGTCCAGGCCGCTTGGGAGGCATGCCAGCGGTTGGGGTTTTGGTCATAGATCGAGGAGGAGCAGACTTAGTTGCAGCTCGGTTTGGTACAGACTTGGGTGGTTTGATGGTCGAGGGAGGCGGACCAGCGGGTGTCTTAGAACGGGGCGGTAGTGCACCCTTCTTTGGCCCATCAGAAGCCTCAATCTCGTCCAAGTAACTCTCACCATACACGAGGAAAGGCCGCCCATATTCGTCTTCCCATTTAGAAAGTATCTTGCGTAAATCGGCAGTGATCTTGGGGAGTTCTTTGGCGATACGCTTTCGCATCTTTTCCTCGCGGAGCAGTTTGCCAGGATCTCGCTTCTCGCCCTTCTGACCACGTGCCATGAGTCGCGATGCGTCCTGACTGGAGGCAGCGAGATCATCACGTTCCTGGATCAAACTCTTGTGTCTATCGATGAGTGCCAATGTGGGCGCTCGTTGTTCCTTGAGAGCTTCCAGGCGGGCAATTTCACGCTCATGGGCCTCCAGGAGAGCGTCACTGTAGACATCGGAAAAGGCAGGGGTGAACTCAAGCATCTCATCCTCGCAAAAGTATAGCGCATCCCAGAGTTCTTGAAGCTTGATGCGGGAATCTTCGACGAAAAGGTGGAGGTTTTGACGCTTGAGCTCGTTCAATCGTGCGAGCTCGTCTTCAAACTCATTGATCTGTCGGACACCGCAGCCACGGTTCGCGTTAAGGAATGGCTTGGTCTCGCTCTCGTCGACACCAAGCTTGATCCACAGAGCTTCGACGGAAGATCTGAGCTCCTTGAGCTTCTTCTCGCGGTTCTTCTTCTCA